ATTTTTTGATAAATTTTGAAGCTTATTCCACATTGACACCATATGTTTTCAAGTTTCTACCGTAATCCTACGGTATTGAAAAGGGAACGGGGTAAATCAATCTATACGGCAAATCTAAGTTGAAGCCAGCTCTACAAAAGTGTAACCCGAAGCAAGGCATAGCTCTTCAATGAAGCATCATAAAAAGTTAGGAACTTTACAATTAGAATCAGCGACTTCAATTAGCCTAGTGTAAGAGTTGTCAGCCTGTTCTCTTTCTTTTCTGAGGCAAAATATGGCCCTTCATGGCTCAAAACAAACTTCGAAGTTTCTACCGTAATATTACAGTAATGGAGAGAGATGAGTGATTCGTTCTAATAATGCAAATCTAAGTTGAAGCCAGCTCTACAAAATGGTACCTGAAGCAAGGGAAAAGACCTCTTGGGAAAAGAGATATTAACGATCAAACAGTGTATACATACTTTACGGACCCCCTTCTATATCAAAAAAAAAATCACTTGCAAAATCGTCGCTTTGTTCGATGCAACAATTTGTTCAAATGATATGCTTCCGATTTTTTTTGAACGTAATGACAGCTGGAATTATAGGGCACTCGTGCCTATTCACTCCATCCACTACATCCGCTTTGTCAGATGATAAATCAATTATACCACGTCTTATATTGAAGAGGGGCAGTGGAGGAATTGGATAGGTATATGATTGTGTTCAAGGACTCAGATTTTTGCGAGATATATTGTGACAAAACATAGCTGGCAGCAGACACCAATTTGATTAGATCATATGATAATTGTTGTTGTTCATTAGTGTGATTTCCTCTCCGGATATCATAAAGAAGATTTTGTCTACAATGTCGCTTCGAAAATGCTTGTGCTCTCACCAGCTCTGCAATTCATAGACTAGATCTCTTCTTTTAAAAGATAGCGTAAGCGATTTGTTGCAATAACTGAATCTCAATTTCTATAACAGTTTCAATGTACTTTGATAGCTGAACCCAAATAACTTGAGAAGAACGTTTTTTTGGTGGAAAAACTGAGAAAAACTTTTCGAAATGATTGTTTGAGATTGCTGGGCCAAGGAAATTGGAAAAATTAAAGAGAAAAGTTGCTGCTCACTTTTACTAACTGAATTCCTCCACTTTAAAGCCTAACCTAGGGCGTTGGTAGTCAAGACATTTTCATATGTACGTGTAGTTTTATTGGTGAACGACAACATCCGTAAAGCGTTTTTTTTCACTCCTTCGCTCCTCTTCCATCTGTTCATCTTAAATTCTCATTCAGATATTTTAGCAGTAATGGATAGGAATGTCTTGTTTTCTATTTCTACGACATCGGCTGCGCTTTCATTGGTTATAAATTCTCTTTTCATCTATATTTCCTGCAAGAAAGAAAGGAAAAACATTGGCACGTATAGGTACTTCTTGGTCGCTTTCGCAACGTGCAACATTCTATACTCTTCTGTGGAATATATCGCTAAGCCGGTACGATTTTAAGCTCGTTGTTTGTAGCTTAAAGAAGACATTTTTTACTTTTTTAATGAGCCAGATGTTTGAAAGAAAAATACTTCTAACAGGTCAATTTTATTTATGGGCATGCAATGCTGTCTTTCAACAACGGACCTATAACATTTGTACCAGCGTTGGACCCATTATTTATGGCTCTTTTCTTCTCCATGCAAGGGATCGAAAGCGCACTCTTAACTTTGCATTTTCTTTATCGTTACATCGTTGTATGCAAGTGAGTTAATATGCATGATGTTTCATGCTGCATCCTCAAAACGGCAGCCCTGACCAGATTTATAACATACATAAGGGCAACACCGGACGAGGGTGTAACCATTGATTTTTAATAAGCGCAGAGCGCATGAGGCGCAGGGCTCACAATGATAAAGATAGCCGCGCAGCGTTCGCACCCACTCAACCAATACTTTGCGCCTTCATTCGGCAGTAGCCTTTAACTTCTAGGCCGGAAAAAAAGAAGTACTTCGAAGGATCTAAGCTTGCTATTTGGGCTGCTTTTAATCTCATTTGGGGTCTCATCTACTTTTTCATCGCCTCATATTGTCTGGAGCCTACCAAGGAGTGTTATGAGTACGCTGAAAAAGCAGTTCGCGATACTTTTCATCGAGATCTGCATGAGTTACCGCATATATGTTTTCTGGCATATGTGAGTGTGTTTTCCTAATGTGAAACATTTCTTCCCTCTATGTAATAAATAGCTTCTTCGATGCTTTTAGGAGATCATAGATAATTCACTAATTATATACTGGAAGCCAACAACGGGTATAGCCCTGGTTGTGCTGATGACAATTACGACAATCATTACTATGATTTATCTTGGAGTGCGAACCTCAAGAACTCTGAAGCAAAGTGCCTCAAGCAAGAAAACAATCACTCTTCAAAGGCAAATGCTCATAGCTTTGACAATCCAGGTAAGCGAGAAAATTAGCAATAGTGGTAGGAAATTTGAATAAAGTGTATTCTGAGAGTTAAGCTTCCATCTTCTTCAGGCACTGCTTCCTTGTGTGCTGGCATTCATACCTCGCTTCATAATGATTTTTTCCGTGCTTGCGGAACTCTCGATACCGAGGTTAACATTTTCTGTTGAATCATCGAACAATGCTAGAGTTTTAGCGCATTCAAGTATTTTCCTCTAATTACAACATTTTTCACCACGGTGCTCGATCCAGTGGCTATTATGCTTACTATCAAAGATTATAGAAGTGCGATATTTAGAATGATTATGAAACCCGTGAATGCAACGTCTACAACAACGGCAACGAAGACAGTCAAAGTTCACAGCTTGCATTTGACAACAACATCTCATAGTACTGATCAGAAGATTGTTAAGAGCAAGCAGTAAGAGCTTAACATATGTCGACTGTGCTTTGCCGCACTTTCTTGGCCGGTACAACCTGGCCGTTTCACTAACGCAACCCTCCACCTAACTCCGCATTTCAGATCATTTTCCTTTCAAAAAAAAATTGTAAAGCCAGATTATGTTCTATTATTTCTTTTCGCAACAATGATTCTCTTAACACATTTTTGGTTGACGCGAACCAAAGTGCTAACAGTTTTTTGAGTCTCAAGCCTAAATCATGTCTGCGTGTTCAATAAGTAGAAGTAGAGCTCTATGAACGTTATCTATAGGTAACTTGTCGTTGTCTAATCTCGGAGTACCAAGCTTCCAAAGACGGCGCAGATTTAATGTTTTTGAGTGTTTATTCCCGAAAAATATTAGACTCTTCTAGCTATCCCAAAAAATCTGTAAAGATTTTTTTACACAGCGGTAATGCATACATTGCTATGGCAGGTCTCAACATAAATAAATCCGTGAGAAACGTCATTTTCTAGGAAAACTTCCTTTATCATCGCATTTTCTTCACAACAGCGCAGCTCAAGACCGAGGCCCGTAGTAAACTACCGTCAGGGCATCTCCCCTGAGGCGGACCGGAGTTGATATCTTGGCGCCTCAGTCCAGCATTCGGCGAGCTATTGATCTGGATGCAGATCGCTTTCTGGACATTATAATCAAGTGCGTTCTTGAAAAAACAGCTACTTGATTCGATTTGGTTAAATGGGTAAGCCACTGGAATTACACGCGCGCGGCCGTGGTTCGACTCCGCTTAGCGACACAAATTTTGCTGCATCGCCGGGCAATCTTTGATAGCGGCCACTATCCAATCGATGATGACCGCTATCAAGGATTTCGCCTAGCAAACGCAAAGATAAAACAAAAAAACATTTCGTTACGAAAATTTTGCGAGAAAGCGAAATGGTTGCAACGTGAATTCAGTGAAATGAACAAATGAGTCCTCGTTTTGGACAGCTTCAAAAAAAAACCAGTAAAGTTCACAAAAAAGAAAAGAATTTGTTTTTTCTGTCTTCCTCTCCAAAATCAGCTGTTCATCGATCCTCTCCTTTTCGGGCGCGGTTGTGCAATTTTGCGCCGATTTTGTCCGCAGTGTTAGGCAAATTGCTGTGTATCGTAAGTTACACAGGAGCAACTTACGAAGATTTTCTCTGCGTTTCCTCTTTAGCACACTATTTCTGGACATCATCGCTCATATCATCTCCCATGACCCGGCAGGGAGATCATCTCCCTGCCGAACTTTACCTGATGCTCACCTCTCAGGTGACGTTGCATCCCTCTAGCAGAGGGAAATGGGCGGTCGTCATTTTACTGACAGAACCTCACATGAAGGTCTCAGGGGAGATAATCTCCCATGACCGAGCTTTACTACGGGCCCGAATCTTTCCTAGACATTGTTTTTTGGGGTGAAAGATTGTGCTTAAAATAAGTGCAGAATAAGGGGGGTTTTTTGGGGAACTAACATTTTTCACACCCTTATTTGTTTTTGCATTATGTTGCAAAATTAAATCATGCCACAGCAACTTATAGGCTACTGCCATGTAATTTATAGATTTTTGAGACAGCTAGCTGCACACTAATAATTTTTGAAACCAAACTCAAAATAACGAAATTTGAGATTCCGCTTTGAGAGCTTGCTTCAGAGCAGGCAAAAAAGGAAAGGTTACTAAAGCAGGTTACTCGCAAAGCACATATCTTCTCCTATTTTATAAAAAGTCAGCCATGAGAGTAATTTATTACCTGAAAGCCGTTGATTTGAATTGAGCAACTACTTTCTCATCATCATTCTGTTGGTTGAAGTGCTCACAGAGTTCACGCAAAATCTCAATCGCAAAATCGTATGACAAGAAACATCGATGAAAAATGCTCCACCTAATGTATTGTTGAGAAGAAAGCTGGCACGTCACTTCCTTCGTAGTTGACATATTTCCTTTTCCATGAGGTGTCAAACTGGTTTGAACGTCTTATGCTGCCGGTTGACAACTTGTTTTCTCAAATTCAAATGCACGCGCAGCTTTTTGGATTTTGCAGTCAGTCACTGCTTGTTACTTGTATATTATTGCACTGTTGGACCATCAGATAACTGATAAATGTAATCCGATAAATTTAAGATGATCGATCAAAGTTCGAATTTCTGTTCGAAAAATTGCTATTTATGGAAGACTTGATATGGTCTATAATTTGTTAATGATTCATTCTTGCTAAATGACAAGGATAAAAAGAAAGAAAAAGACAATGTACAAAAAAGTCGAGATCGGGTGCGACCGGCACCTACGTGCCCAACATGACCAAACTTGCCAAATCTGACCATATCTTCAAACAGGCAGGAGCCCGATCATCAGCTTGACTTCGTGCATTTCGAGGGCCAGTGCCCGCGCCTATACGGGATGTGACCTGTACAGGAACTCCACCCCATGTAGAAGATTAATAAGTATTGCGCTAATTTGGAAAAACAACTTCGCCACGCTTTCAGACCTTAAGTTTTTTACAAACTTCCATACGTTGTTTCGACTCCCCATTAGCATGTACGCAACAGATCTGGCATCATATATTGCGAGTAAAGCCAAATATCTACTTCGGGCACAATTCTAGATTCCCCATGACTATCGCGAGCGTATTTGAGCTCGTATTCCTTTTTGCTCAGAATGAGGTAGTAAGGCAATGACGAGCGCGTGAGACTTTCATGGTGTTGAAGAAGTAAAGAAAAAGGGGGAGTGGGTGAAGGTGGTGGGTTAGAAGGCATATTGCATTCACACATTTTTGTGAAAAATTACGACGGCTTTTGAAAAGTTTGTGTGGAGAGGGGGGAGGCTTGGTGAGAAAAAATTGTTGGGTTAAGGGGGCTTCAAATCAAGTAATAATAATTTCGTTTTCTCTGGTAATGCTTAGCAAATTTAACTTTTCAGAAAAAAATAGAAGTCCGCTTTACTTTTCACTCCTAAAACGATATTCAATCTTTCCAATTGTTAAATTAATGGATGTCACGTGCGCATAGTGAGATGTCGGTCGGTAATTACATCACTCGAAACCATATAAATCGTCTGTTCGAAAAGAAAAAGTGAAAACACACCTACCGCAGATCACTTCATGATGATAAACACATTGTGCCTCTACTTTTTACCATCTCTAGAATTTGACGAGACCTCGTTGATGGCGAAATAATGCGCATGCGACAACAATCATAATTAGGATGTAGCAGAAACCTAGTCAGCATTTGAACTGAGCTTACCACCTCAGAAGAACTTCTTAAGTTGAACTTATCAACGCTCACACTCCCTACTACAAGAAGACAAGTTTGAATGTCAGAAGACTGACCGGTTAAGTGACGCATTTAGTTTAGTTTTCTGCCCTTAATGAACGTAAGTCGTAATCTGAATTGAAGAAAATAGTGTGCATAAGCGGATGATCAAAAAATCTTGCAAGTTGCTCGTGAGTAAACTACGTAAACCGCGTCACGGAGGAGAAATAGTGGTTTGATTTCCAAGAAAACGTCTCGAAATAAAAATTTATCTTTTCATTCAACTGTCAACATTTGTGATTTTTATGGAAATTTTTAGGTGAAAATTTGTTCAATCTCTCTGCTTGGCAAAGTCTTTATAACGGTCTTTCAATTTTTCGATAGTAGAGGTATTAAGTTCACCTTGCGATGAAGCAAAAGCGATGCATTTAGGAGGTCACGAGCCAGCCCTTGCGATGTGATGTGCAAGTGGCTTACCCGTTTACCCATCCCTACAGATATAATAAAGCTGTTCTATGCATGAAAACGCGCGGGTATCCCATGTTAACAAAGCGGTTTGCACCGAGATCGACGGCAACAAATACTCCGCTGAGCCGCCGTAGGCTTAGACCCGCCTCAGAACTGTTGTGACGCACGTTTACTACGAAAATATTCTTTGAGTCTAGCAAAGCAGCAAATTTTTAAAATCTCAAAAAAGAACAAAACTTAGCAGCAAGATTTCGTTGAAGCTAAGATAAGTTCACGTTACTCTGATCGGGTTTATTTGCCCTCCTCTTCCAATAAAAACTTTGTCATTATTCCCTCTGCAGGTTAAGTCATTGTTGCTGGTATGAGATAAACAAGAAAAGTTTTTTTTGCAGACAGACTCAAGAATAATTCGTAAATCAAATCAAAATACCCATCACAGTTGCTGTTTATGGTAATATACATAAGGATTGCTATGTACCTTGCAATGTTTGAACGCACGTCAATTAGGCTTGATAGTTATTCTGCACATGGTCGTTTGACCCACATTATCTACAGCGAGATTTTTGCGTAGTCGCTAACAACAGTTAAAGGCACCGTCCACCCAAAATTTCGACCTCCATGTTTTTGCCGTTCCAGGGCCTTTCCATACCCCTGATTCCGAATATCAAGTTGAAAATCCGCGAGAACCACGAAAAATTCCCGTTTTCAGAACCCGCAGAGCGATTTCTTCGGTACGGTGATTGGTTGGGCGCGCATGAATGGGCGGGACGAACGTCACGCCCACTCCGAAAGGGGAGGAGCCAGCGTCGCGAACGCGGCCTGAAGCGATTTCCGGAGCAATTTTCTCGGTTCGGAAGCAACTTCAGGCAGCGCGAGTTGGGCGATCATACAATTGGGGGCCCCGCATCTGCTAGGTATCATAATCTCACCAACCCCAACTTGGGTGGACGGTGCCTTTAAAGGCAGTGTCCGGGCAGAAACTCGACTTTTAAAAAATCAACTTATCTGGGGTTATCCGCAACGCTGAATCCGAAAATCCATATCAGAAAGCACGAAAACGGCGAAAACATGCATTTTCCAAGCCCTTACATTTCGAAATTTGAGGATCCCCGCCAGGCTAAGACGCAGAGTTGCAAAGAGCGCACGGTTTTTAATCGTGGCGGCATACGTACTCTGCCGTCTGGCAGGAATTCAAACAGGTCGGAGGACCCCGCCCCGAGGCGTAAGTTTCCCCACTTTGCAATTGTTTTT